TTTACGTATTTTGTTCTGTAATATGGGTTTTTTGAAGTACGGTGTTCTCTGTGTATTGCTTACATCTATAGAAGTACTGTATTAAGCATTTAGCAGAAATAGCAAGTGTAGATGTTAAATACATATATTTGATAGCAGAGGGAGAGCAATCTGTATTCTCTCATGGGGAAGCTGTACAATATCAAGAGTCCAGGATCCACATACACTGCCTGTGCTGTATAGCCAGTGGGGGGCGAAAGTGCAGGGACCAGAAAGGCTGTAACAGGTTGACAGCAAGCAGCGCTTCAGAAGGAACACACGGGGATAAAGGGAAATTTTCTGTGTGATCTGGCCCATTATACAATACTGGGGTGGGCCATCTTGGCAGTCATATAAAAAGTGAAGAACAATCCAGGTTTAGGCAATCATTATAGGTTATATATGGGTCCCAAATCTTCAGAAATTTGGTGTGTGTATCCGTAAATATCTGGTGAGCTCCTCGTGAACCATGGTTCCGATAAGACCTCAGCAAAATTAAGAAACAGCTGGCAACAGTCCCTAACTAATGTTTGTTGTGCTGCTAGACTAACAAACCCTGCCAGCTTTCTCTTGGGCTTTGGTCAAGGATGGAGTAGACATATGCAACAAGGCTTTCACGGAGTCACGTGCTAAAGAGACTTTTAACACTGATCTGGACAATTAATAAACTGCAAGTGCAAGGCTTTTGGGCAGGACCACCAGACATAGATAAAAGGGTACCTGGTTCCCTGCACCCCTGGAAGCATGAAGGGGATTCAAAGGGAACAAATTTGGCTACTTGTACTGGGGTCATGTACCATCAAGAGAGCAACTTGTAGGCGTTCTCCTGTGCGAATATATTCCAGGAACACTTACTTAGATGAGTCAAGACAAATTTGGTTCAGGGTTCAGTTTTGCTTAAGTTAGTTTCCTATTTAGAAACATGGGAAAGTGTGCGGGGTCCCATAGGGGTTTATTTACTAAATCTGGAGAGTGCAAAATCAGGCTCACTTCTGCATAGAAACCAAGTGGAACGGTCTGCATCCCTCTTAGAAGTGATTTGCCCTTAGGGGAGTATCTAACCAAAATTGAAATTTTAGTTGTAAAGGATGCCTGAAATCTGATATGCAGATTTCTTGGAAAATCAATGAACCAATCACATAAGCAGGAAATTACATTTTTAGAGGCACTTTGTACATCAATACCTCCAGTTTGCCACATTAAGTATAAAGTTCTCCAGATTAAAATGGAAAGGTAATTTTTAACAAAATTTAAATTAGGGATGGACGAATACCGATACCAAGCATTTGCACGACTACTTGTACAGTTGTGTTCAAAATAATAGCAGTGTGTTGAAAAAAGTGAATAAAGCTCAAAATCCTTCTAATAGCTTTTATTTCCATACACACAAAAGCACTGGGAACACTACACATTCTATTCCAAATCAAAACATGAAGAAAATATATCAAATGTGTTTTGTTCCTCTAAATAAATTGAAGAAAAGTGAATATTAGATGGTTCAAAAAAATAGCAGTGTTTGTATTCTTCTTTACAAACTCAAACATTCACTATATAAACTGAAAAATGTTTGAAGATTTTGCTTTCCTTTGAATCACTTAATGAATATTTAGTTGTATAAGCACTGTTTCTGAGAACTGCTGTACATTTGTGTTGCATGGAGTCAACCAACTTCTGGCACCTGTGAACAGGTATTCCAGCCCAGGATGATTGGACTACATTCTACAGTTCTTCTCTATTTCTTGGTTTTGCCTCAGAAACTGCATTTTTGTTGTCACTCCACAAGTTTTCTTTTGGATTAAGATCCGGGGATTGGGCTGGCCACTCCATAACGTCAATCTTGTTGGTCTGGAACCAAGATGTTGCACGTTTTTACTTGTGTGTTTGGGGTCGTTGTCTTGTTGGAACACCCATTTCAAGGGCATTTCCTCTTCAGCATAAGGCAGCATGACCTCTTCCAAGTATTCTGATGTATTCAAACTGATCCATGATCCCTGGTATGCGATAAATAGGCCCAACACCGTAGTATGAGAAACATCCCCATATCATGATGCTTGCGCAACCATGCTTCACTGTCTTCACAGTGTACTGTGGCTTGAATTCAGTGTTTGGGGGTCGTCTGACAAACTGTCTCCGGCCACTAGACCCAAAAAGAACAATCTTACTTTCATCAGTCCACAAAATGTTGCGCCATTTCTCTTTAGGCCAGTCAATGTGCTTTTTGACAAATTGTAACCTCTCTTCAGCACGTCTTTTTTTCAACAGTGGGACTTTGCGGGGGCTTCTTTCAGATATCTTGGCTTCACATAGGCGTCTTCTAATTGTAACAGTACTCACAGGTAACTTTAGACCTTCTTTGATCTTCCTGGAGCTGATTGTTGGCTGAGTCCTTGCCATTTTGGCTATTCTTCTATCCATTCGAATGGTAGTTTTTTGCTTTTTCTTCCACGTCTTTCAGGTTTTGGTTGCCATTTTAAAGCATTTGTGATCATTTTAGCTGAGCAGCCTATCATTTTCTGCACTTCTTTATATGTTTTCCCCTCTCCAATCAACTTTGTAATCAAGGTACGCTGTTTTTCTGAACAATGTCAGTAACAAACCATTTTCCTCAGAATTTCAGAGAGAAATGCACTGTAACCAGCATGTACAAGATTTGCTGCCTTCCTTCCTTAAATAAGGGCAATAATTGCCACCTGTTTTTCAAAGAATGAATGACCTCACTAATAGAACTCCACACTGCTATTATTTTTGAACATGCCCCTTTCAATTAGTGATTCAGTTACACAGAATCAGCAGCATGCATGTCATGACTGTTGGGTCTGTTGGATTTCTATTACTCTACTACACCTGCTAGTAAATTATTTGCCATGTAGAAATATAATTTCTACCAAAAACAGTGATTGATCAGGTTAGTGATGTCTGACTGCTATTATTTTGACCACAACTGTACTTGTGCAAATGCTCCAATACCTAAAACCGATACCTTTTGGGGTGCAATTTGAGCGCACACAAAATGAATGGGCTCAAATCGCACTGCAAAGAATAGCATACAATTTGAACAGGAATGCAGTGTGATTCCAGTCTAAATCACATGTGGTTTTTTGTGTCGCTCCTGTGTGAACCCTGGCTTCAGCCTAGGTTTACAAAGGGACGGTAAGGGAAACCGCATGTGATTCGGACAGTAATTGCACCGCATTTCTGTTCAAAATCGCACCACAATTTTATATCGGTAAGTGGTATCAGTGAGTACTTGAGTACAAGTATTGTTACTCGCTGGTAAAAAAAAAAAATGGTATTGGTGTATCCCTAATAAAATACAATATGGCTTGTGTAGTCATTGTATGCTATAATATTTTTTATTGGGTGTATTTTTTTCCACATTTCCACCTTTAAATGAAGGTGGTGTAAATTACTTTTGCTGCATAATCCCAAAGAAAAAAGTGCCTACCACCACTTTACAGCCACCTTAAAAGAGAAGTATGGGCTTTCTGAAAAAAAAAAAAAAAAAAAAAAAGAATTATTCTCACCTAGATGGATGCAGCATCGATCCATAGTTATATAGTTGGTCTGGCTGAAAAAGACAAATGTCCATCCAGTTCAACCATTTAAAAAAAAAAAAAAAAAAAAAAAAGTTATAATCCTATACCCACAGTTGAACCAGAGGAAGGCAAAAAAAAACCCCAGCAAAGCATGAACTGCATATATCCCCTGCCAGCTTTGCATTACAAGAACTGAGCGATCAAACACTGCTGACTGCTCAGTCCTCCCCCTCTAGTATCAGTCACAGGCTCTCTGCGCTGCCTCTCCAGTGCTCACTGTAGCATGGGCTGTGGAGGGGGTGGGAGTGGCTGGCTCAGGCTTTCAGTGACTCTCTGAGAGGCTGAGCCAGGTGCTGATCTGGGCTTCTGGGTATGGTCGGAATCTTTGCAGACTCTGGCCTGGCTCTATGATGTCAGCTAAAAACGGGTCACAGGAGTGCAGACCTCCTGTGATCCATAGGAGAAGTATAGCCAAAAGGCTATTCTTCTCCTTTTAAAGTGGAACTTTAGTCAGAAAAAATGAAGTCCTGCTAGATGACTTCAGGCAGGTATATCCATGTAAAACATTTAAAATAAGTGCCTATACTGTTTAAAATCCAGTAATACACTGTCTCACCTTGCTCTGCACATGTTCAGTTTCTCTCTATTTTTTGGCTCTTTACCCAAAATGTAGAGATCAATCTGCTGACAGCCTAAGATTTAATGCTGCTCAGGGGCTCTGGGTTTCAGCAAAATGGCTGCCTCCAAGTTACAGGACACACTACTTTTGGTAGCATATTTATCCATGTGGAATGTATGTGCTTTGCTAAAGAACATTATTTTTTATCACGTTTTTCCTGGGTAAAGTTCTACTTTAAAGCTATCTATACATTAATAGAAATCAAAGTTGTTCTTTTAAAAAAGATTTGTTCAAAATTTGAATCATTAATGGGGTCAAACCACCGTTCATTTTCAACCACAGTGATGAGAAAATACAAAGGAGCAGGATGGAAATTTTTTTTTTCAAACAAACTAATTTCTAACTGTACGTTCTTTTCGATTGGGAAATTACATTCACTCCAAAAAAGAATGGTAAAAGCAAATGAAACTTCGAAGTACTTTTGAACAACGTTTGTCAAATCATCAAATGTAGAGCATTTTCGTACAAATGGTAAATGTATACACTTTCCCTATTATTAGAGAACATTTGTGTAGTTCTAGGAACTGTCGTAAATTAACAAGTATATCATGTGGAAGGTTAATTTGTGTTTAGTGAATCCAGATATTCAATCTTGGCTCATCATCAATAATTCTTCTAGTAACCATTTCTGTGAAGTACAAATTCAATAAACCATTTTGAAACGTTATCCTTGTCTACTGGATTATAGAATTTATAAAATGACTAATTACAGATATTTGAAATTATTTTTTCTTATTCATTTTTCTTTTTGTTTCTTTTGGCGACAGTAAACTCTTTGCTGTCGGTGACTATCTTGCAGCTGTGGACGCTTTGAACCTGGGGATACGAATAAATGACAAGATCCCAGGACTGTACCTTAATCGATCAGCCTGCCATCTTAAATTAAGGAATCTTCATAAAACCATTGATGATGCCTCCAAGGTATACCTAGGTGACACACTGTGGAATTCTCAATGTGTATTTATTGCGCACAGCAGGGAGAATGTGGAACTATTGTATGAGCACAAAACATTGAAGTCGGTAGCGTGAACTTTTCTTGACCTTCAAAAAATTGATTTTATTCTGCTATATTATGGATTGCATTTCCACCTTTGAAGAGTGTATCTGCGTGCTTGGTTATTTGATAATGATTTTATTACAAATGTTTCCCTACATATCACCTCTGGCTTTGAAGGAAATATTACCAATTTATGTTATAAAGAATATCTGATCACAGATATTTAGGATATTATATTTTTATATATGGAGGGAATGGCCAGTAGTGCTAACGTGTATGTAAGCCCAAATGGCTAACGTCTCGAATTTGGCCCCTTTTAGGTCTGTTAAATATAGTGTTGAAAAGGTTTTTGTTACATTTGTTCGATAAAGGCAAGGAGTACATGTTAATACTTTCAAAAGTCCGCTAATAATATCCTGTGCTTATTGTGTATGCTGCACTCTTATGAATTACATGGCTTCCAGTTATCTGAGGACTACAGAACCCCTCCGCTATGTTATGGGAGATGTTATCGTTGTAGGGTAACCATGATATACAGATGGTGAATGAGCATTGATACCATAGGACAGGAAGAGTGTTGCTGGTAGAATCAGCATATGAAAATAAATAGGAGAATATCTCCAAGTAGGTGACCCCCATTCCATCCTGGCTAAATGGCAGAACGTTTCAATGGCATTCCCAACACTGAAGGATCAAGCATGTTGGCTTGTTCAAAGACTGCCTAAAATTAGACAAAAGCGCTGTTTATGAGGACAGTCAGCTACACTCATACAACTTTATATACATTAACATTCAATACAGCTGCTTTGTTATTTATATTTGGCTTTATGTTTATGTCCGCTTATTTGATGCTATGCAATTATTTGGGACTCATTTAATATTCCCCTTAACTAAAGCTCGGGGTTATAAGTTGTTTTCTGCTTATTCATTTCTAAAATTAGACATGTTGCAACTACATGAAGCGAAATCAATTTAGTGCTCAGAGTAAGAGGCAAAGCCTTAGGTACACATGAAACCCAGACGACTGGTAGCAGGTTAGTGTTGGATGACCAAAGTCACTGAAGGTGGACAGCAGGAATGGATTGAAGTTCCATGTTTCTCTCTGCAAGCAGGAGCAGCATCAGGTGGATGCATCCTTTTAATGTTGTGTGACTTGCAGGTTAACTCTACACTGTCCATCCCATTTGGGTCCGGACATAGAACTCCAAAAACTGGATAGTCATTAACACAGCATAACTGAATAAAAAAAACTGAGGCATGCCAGTAGTAGGAGGGGTCAAACTGAGATGGCAATTTTTTTTGCCAGTGTCTGATCCTCCTGTAGGCAGCAGTATTACCCAAAGGTTGAAGGGTGAGTCATCAACCCACCTCTCCACCTCAGTCATTCATAGGAAGCGCTGTATTCCTTCATCAAAATACAAGATTTCCTGTGAATGGCTGTGCATTGCTGTATACTGTGAACACAGCATTGTATACTATGTATAGCTGGTGCTACATACAGTTCATACAGTGCTCCCAGAGGGCACATGTATTCGTGAACATAAGTCAATAGTTGGAATAATTGCCACGTGTTTGACCCACATTAAAGTATCAATAACTGTGGGGAAAAGTTAGGAACAACTTTTCAGATTTTATAAAATACATAGGACACGCATGCGGGGGGAAACGCTGATGCTGTATGCGGAACGTGTGGATCCCTGGGTGCCGGAGATCGCCAGGGATTTACGCTAGATTCGGAATATGCTATAAACTCCTCATGCACATGAACTCTTAGACTTGGGCAAATCTGTTGCATTTGGTTACTCAAGGTTACGGATGCAGGGGTCGCAAATCCACATGAAGCTGTCACATAGACCGGGCAGCCTGATTTGCATCTAAATGAGCGTCTGCAAAAAAAAATATTTTTAAACCTGGTATTTGCATCACTCAAGAATGGTAATTTTATAACAAGAAATGTTTTTTGATTAGTGTTTGTGTTTGCTAGATTGTCACCAAAGTTTAGCTTTTAATGTTACAAACCATAAATGCGAGATGACATATGAGAGTATGAGGAAGCAAAAGTCTTCCAATTATTAGTGAGCAGTTATTTCATGAGTTGTTTTCTATGAAATGTTCTGCTTCTACCGTACTTGTCATTTGATTTTTTTAATGAACTTCTTATTGATGTGAATTATTCTAGGCTCTGGAACTGCTGACACCGCCTGTTCCAGACAATGCTGCTGCCAGACTTAAGGCTTATGTGAGGCGTGGAACTGCCTTTTGTGAGTTAGAACTCTACGTGCAAGGTACAGATTATTCATGTTGTCTCAGATGCAAAAATCAATGCAGAGTTATCTAATGGTATTGACTGCAGCTGATGTAAATCTATGATTTATCCATCAGGTCTTATTCGCATGGGTGTCTAAAACACTGAACTTAGATGCGTTCACCATATGGTTTTGTATGCATCTAAACCCAGCACTATAGTAATCACTGGGGCCATACACACAGCTGCATCTACAAACATACAAGGGTAGAGTCTCTAGAAGAATGTTCAGAGTATAAATGCTGTGCACATCTAAACACAAGTACTTTAGATGTGTTTTCTATGCAGGATCTCTTGCTAGCTCTGCCAGCCAAAACCTGTGTTCAATGCAGAAAGTACACATGTGAATGTATAAAAAGGCAAAGCAACAGGTTTATGAATGCTGTGTGGTTCCTGTACAATTTACATGTGGTTCTGTGCAGTGCGAAATTTTACCGCACCAAAAGTAGTGCATGTACAACTTTATGAAACACATTGCAACTGGAATGCATGGTACTTTTGATCGTGTGTGAGCAAACGCACTGCCTTTGGGGTGTCGTTAACTTTGCACTGACACTCGCAGCAGATCGCTTGGCATGCGGTGTGGGAAAGCTCACCAGAACACAGGTTTTCCCGCATTGCATTCTAATGTGAACAAGCCTTCAGCCTTTTCTTGAACAGTGGCTGCCGTCACTGATCAATGTATACTGACAGTGGTTGAGTGTAGCTTTCAAAATACAATGTCCCAACAGGGATGGATTTCTCCATCTATTTTGTTTTTGTGGATGGAGGAAAAAAATATCAGTGTATGGCTGGCTTAAGGCCTGCTTCACATGGCCATGTGACAACATACATCAGCAGATTCTTGTGGTTTGAACGACGGGTGCATGTGGATAGCAGCGGCCGCTCTGCTTGTACAAAGTTATTGAGAAGCTGACAGCGGCTGTAACATGTAGCTACACAATAAGTGGTTACCTGTGGTTAGGGACAGGTGTCCATGCCTGGACACATCCGAACTAAGCATTGGAATCTGACTGTAAATGTATGAGTTAGCGAGCGCACCAAGTAAAGCTGCTGATGCACAAAAAGGAACCACAAAACCTTTCTAAGAGTATGACATAAAAATGGGGTGTGCAGCGCTATACAAATAAAACACACTGTCACAAGTATGGCAAAATATGACAAAAAAGTCCTATAAACTGAATAATATACAGTCCAAGGTGATGTGATATCAGTCCAAAAAGGTATATTCCAGTGATGGAGTATGAATGACTTCAATCCAAATGGGTATATTCCAACATCCTAACATGAAGGTGTAGAAAAATTTGCCCACTCACCGGAAGTACAATTTAATGTGCACATAGAAATTCCATGAAGCCGGAAGTCCCGTGAAGGTACAGCCTGATGATGAAGGTGCCCTCTGGTGGTAAATAGGGTGACGGCTGCCAGAGATGATGGTCTGGACCTATATCCCAAATTCTCCTGCCTGGATGGACTCCTAAAATGCTGGGCTGAGATGTGGAGGCTCAGTGCCAGGTGATAGAGATGGAAATACTCATAGTGTAGTATTATGAAATGTATTTATTGGGTAAAAATCATAATGATAAAATAATACACGTACAGGGTTAGAGTACCTATACAGATATAGTGTGAAATGAGCTCTTTGAATACACTGACCAGTGGGTAAAAAATGGTGGCCACCGGACCTCCTGATCCGGTGGCGTAACGTCAAGGCGTGCAGAGGCTCCTCCTCCTTTTAGGAGGAGCCTCTGCATGCCTTGACGTTACGCCACCGGATCAGGAGGTCCGGTGGCCACCATTTTTTACCCACTGGTCAGTGTATTCAAAGAGCTCATTTCACACTATATCTGTATAGGTACTCTAACCCTGTACGTGTATTATTTTATCATTATGATTTTTACCCAATAAATACATTTCATAATACTACACTATGAGTATTTCCATCTCTATCACCTGGCACTGAGCCTCCACATCTCAGCCCAGCATTTTAGGAGTCCATCCAGGCAGGAGAATTTGGGATATAGGTCCAGACCATCATCTCTGGCAGCCGCCACCCTATTTACCACCAGAGGGCACCTTCATCATCAGGCTGTACCTTCACGGGACTTCCGGCTTCATGAAATTTCTATGTGCACATTAAATTGCACTTCCGGTGAGTGGGCAATTTTTCTACACCTTCATGTTAGGATGTTGGAATATACCCATTTGGATTGAAGTCATTCATACTCCATCACTGGAATATACCTTTTTGGACTGATATCACATCACCTTGGACTGTATATTATTCAATTTATAGGACTTTTTTGTCATATTTTGCCATACTTGTGACAGTGTGTTTTATTTGTATAGCGCTGCACACCCCATTTTTATGTCATTGGAATCTGACTGTTTGCAATCAGAAAGTACACACAGTTCTTACTTCGTACACTTTGATTTGTAGGGTCCAGTATTCAGATGTAGAGACAGATGGGTGGATTGTCTCCTCTGTCTTCCTGCATGCTGGGAGTCCATTCTGAATAAAACTAATGGCGTTTTTTTTTTTTTTTTTTTTTTGCAATTATACAAAACAAAGCCTCTGGGCATTCCCCGGGACAGGTAGATGCAAAACAAAAATAACACAGATTTACAGTCAAACCAGAACATAACATAACAAATAACCTTAACAAGCCCCATACTTGCTACTTCAAAAACAGCTTTAGACACTCTGCAAGAGAGACATAGCTGCCATGATAGAAAACAAATGACCTTGGAACTATCGGTCCCCCTCCACCCCCCAGATAACTAGTGCATGATATCACAGAATATGAGAAAGACCTACGCTAAACTGCAGAAGGACAGGTATGCCCAGAAGACTGCATCCTGTGTTAAATTCTGTCATTGAGTTCGATTTAGGGTAGAGGATCCAGAGGAGTCACCTGGGCTCACAGTAGTAGCCTTCGATTCTAGCCATATATCCCATACCTTGCTGAACTTATAAGGGCATACCCTATTCAACTGAATTGACATGCGACTTCCAATTGTTTAAGGTAGGAGCAGATGGAGCTCTCCATTTCAGTACAATTGATTTCCTGGCCTAGAACAGGAGCAACCCCACCAATGTATGAACCGCTCTTGTAGGGGCCAGGGCCTCGACCAGCCCTTATATGCAAATGACTGTCTGTTGAGGTATAGAGATGGTGGTCAATTGAGTAATAAACTGGAGGAGTCCTGTCCAAAATATCTGCAAATGGGGACAAGTCCATAGCTTATGTAGGTATTCAGTCTACATTGCAGTGCCAGCAAGTAGCGGACAATCTGCATAGATTTGTGGAGTCTAAGAGGTGTATAGTAGAACTTAATGAAGAATTTTGAACTGAATCAGCCGGTCCCGGGAAGAGACCAGCTGAGTGAAGGGATACTCCCAGACCTCCTCCCAATCCTCATCGTCCATCACCGGCAGCTTCGCAAGTCAAAATGACCTTAAATCACCCAAACGATGATGTACTGTAGGCTGGAGGTCCTTCTATATATTCGATAAGGGTTTCACAGGGAAACGTTCCTGAGAAGAGATTACATGTCGAAATGGCGTAGAGTCAAGGAAGTGGTTCCAAATTGGTCAGCATAGGCATGGCGGAGCTGGAGGAAAAAGTAGGAGTTGAGCAGTGCAAACCTACTATTAAGGTTATCAATATGCCACTCTCACAGATATGGGACAGATATCGGATCCCCTTAGCTGCCCAGAGGGAGAGGTTCAGGATAGAAAAAAATTAAAGAAAGGTGGGATTCATCCATAATGGAGTATCAGAGGAGTACCACCCGGAACGATTCCCTACTGGAGGTGTGACCTGGGTCCAGACTCGTATCATGGTTTTCATGTTAGTAGTTGGGGTGTGTGGGGCTTTAACTCACTGAAACAAAACATTCCGCATTGCTTCAAATCAGCCCACAAAAGCAGCTTCTAGGACCATCACGGAGTTAGTATCGTCTGAGATAAGCCAGTTATGAGCATGAGAGAGTAATGCTGCTAGAAAGTATGAAAAGAAGAAGGTTAAATGACCTTTAATTGAAACAGCATTAAGAGCAATCTAAAGTAGAGTTTCTTCGCATTTTTTGAATACACATTGCTGTTACAAAATCAGATGCTTTGATTCAGTGGAACAAAAGTAGTATCGATTAGGGAAATTATTTTCTCTTTATATTTGATCGGTGTTATCTTTTTTTTTTTATTAAAATATGTTTTCATTTCTGAGTTGTCTGATTGAGGTGGAAATCTTTGTGAATCTGGAAGAAAGAGTATGAAAAGGGCTTTAGAGCCAATTAAAGGATATATTGTTCACCTACTCAGCTGTATTCTTCCGGAAAGGTCACTTTTATTTATTTTTCATGTTTGGAATTCCTTGTCATAGAAAGTGCCGACATAAGAAATCGCTTAAGCTCAAGAGCATTTGACATTGAGGAGAATAAAACAAGATGGTTCAAGCCCTTCCTGAATAAAGCAATTTTCTTTGCATTTTTCAAGATGGGTTCGTACAATGGATCCATTATCACTAGACAAGGCAATAAGTACAGCTGAGAAGACACTGGAACAATGACAGTTCAGCAGTCTGAAAACTTTCATAGTTGCTTTTCATTTGCTCTTTGTACTCAATGATACATAAAAGAATCAGACGTGTGTTAATCACTGAAGGACAGTTCGAAATAATTATAAATTGATTATCCAAAGCTTTTTTTTGCTAGCTCTGACACATTAATGAATGACTGTTGGAGACACAACATACTTGGGTTTGTTGCTTAAAGCTGCCCATACACTAGTGGAAGCTCGTGGGAAAAAAAATTTTCATTTTCAGAACATTTGTCTTAAGCCGGCCATACTTGGATCAAAATTCAGATGGTTCTGCAGGGACTGGCCAAATTTCAATTCATGTATTGGTAGGTTGGTTGTACAGAAATCAGTCTAATCGGTCTTGCCCATCGACTTCTGTACAACCAGCCTGTCAGGTTTTTCATGATCAGTTCCCACTGTCAGAATACAAAGGCTCAGCGGGAGGATTCCTCCATCCACCTCGAATGTGGATGGGGGAATTGTGTAATTTCTTTTTGTTTAACCTGCTGGCTGAATGAAAAAAAAAAAAAAAAAAGTAATGTATGGGCTGCTTTAGATTATGTTTAAATAACAAATCTGGATGAAATTTAAGGGTTTTCAAATGAAATTAGTTGGCTCAATTGTAGCAAAAAAGGATGTTCTGACAAGAATTTTCGTACAAAATTTGTGAAAATTTTACTAGTGTATGTTGGCTTGACTGTTTTTGGGTTCAGTGGAAGGCATAATCGAGCTTAACCCCTTCACGCCTAAGGGTAAAACAAATCTAAATGCCTAAGCACAATTTTGCAATGTTGACATGTGTTAGTAAAACCGTACATATCATCACAACTACTTTGTACATCTAGGTGGATTATACCTTGTTTTTTTCAGGACACATTGGGCTTTCAATTGGTGGTAAATGGTAATGGATATCTCCTGATTTTTTTTTCTTTATTATTATTATCAAAGGAAAACTGGCCCAAAATAGTAAAAACAAATCATTTTTTTATATAGCTGTGTATTTCTTGTTACTACTACTATAACCTACCACCAACAACCCAAAATAAGTTTTCCAGCTCTTGACGATTGCAGCGATACATATGTGTATGTTATGTGTATGTTTGTACTCGTACGCAATAGTTAGTGTCAGTGTGTTTTGGGTAAAAAAGACAAAAACAAAATGCGCACTGACACCAATTTTTTTAAAATTCTGACAAACCTTGACCATTGACCCTGACCTTGACCCAAACACTTACCCTGGCACTGAACTAGATCAAACCTTGATCTAGGTATTTTTTCTCTTTTCTTTCTTTTCTTTCTTTCCTTTCTTTCTCCCTCTATGCCAGGAGTTAGAGAGATACTATGTATCTCTCTCCTCCATTCAGAGAGAGAAAAAAAACAAAGGGTGCCGGGCTGTACACTGACTGAGCACTGTGATAGCCAATCACAGCGATCATGTGACCCGGAATCGGGAGTGCCGGAACCCGGTGTTCTCAGTGACACCGCGGTCTTTGTGCTGGGAGAGCTCCGCGTGGCGAGCTCCCAGCAGAAAGACCGGTACGCAAATGTGTGGCCCCACAGAAAAAAGCCCAGTTCTGTGAGGCCGCATATTTGTGTTATGTCGGTGTCAAGGGGTTAAAGAAGAAATCATTCCCCCCTCCCCTTTTGCATCAGTAGTATCTCCTTTTAAACCCCCTCATCACATCAGAGTCCTCCTTTCACATCAGAAGCTCCCCCATCACATCAGAGGCCCCCCCCCCTTTCACATCATAAGCCCCCTATCAAAACAGAAGCCCGGCCCACAATTGCTATTGGCCAGATAAAATCTTGTAGAGGGCTGGATTTAGCCCTCTGGCCCTATCTTGGAGAGCCCTGCCCTAGACCTCAACAAGCAATTACACCTTGCAGTGCGGACACAGCTCCACTGCAAGGGATCATTTTTTTGTTGCCCATAGATGGGTATAACCACTGATAATCTGACAGGACTGCAAATTGTTGAATGTCACAAACTCTGCCCACACAGGGAGAAAACTAGCTGCTTGAATTGAATTCACTCTTCCTATTGGTCACATCTTGTGTGGCTGTTACATTGTGAATTAATAGTCATTTTGTACCTAACAGGTCTAGAAGACTATGAAGCTGCCCTTAAGATTGACCCTGCCAACCCCACTCTGAAATCTGATGCTCAAAAGATTCGATGCGTTATCCAAGGCTCCATTTCAGACTAGGAATGCTGAAATGTTTGTATCACTTAATGTTATTTTTTTTTTCTTTGTACTATTTGCTGGTTGTATTTTGTTTGTGTTTTATGTCTCTGTTAATTTGTAATAAATCATCTTGCTGTTTTGTATATTTGTTCTCGGCATTGGATGTTGAAAAAAAAAAAAAAAATGCTAGGGAATGTTTTTTAGCGTGTAGGCTTAAAGAGTAATTCCACTTTTGTTGAGAAACAAATGTTCCCCTCTGGGTGATCTATGTACATTGCAGGGATTTTATCAAACTTTATAGAGTCCTACTTGTTTCTGTTCACACCATGTACATGAATGAATGTGCGGTTCACATGCCTTTCTGTGCGGTGCAATTTCAGTTTATTCATTTTGAATGGTCTAAAACAGCATTGAACCAATAGTAGCGCATGCATTATTAACCACTTCCAGTCCAGACACTTTTACCCCCTTCCTGACGAGGGCATTTTCAGCTTTTAGCTCTATCACACTTTGAATGACAATTGCGCGGTCATGCAACACTGTACCCATATGAATTTTTACCATTTTTTTGAGACAGATAAAACTTTATTTTGGTGATATTTATTCACCGCTGGGATTTAAATTTTTTTTGCTATGTAAATGAAAATGTCCAAAAATTTTGAAAAAAAAGTGTTTTTCTTTATAAAATTTTGCAAATATTTCATCATAACTCTTGGCCAAAATTTTTTCCGTTATCTTTTTAGTACAAAAAAAAACACATTTAGTTTTATAACCAAAAAATTATAATTTTTAAACTTTTTTTTTACATTTTTATTTTTTTTTATATTTATTTTATTTATTTATTTTTTTTACATACTGTCACTCTAGCAGTACACTTTTGGGGGGTGGTGAATATATATATATTTTTTTTTTTTACACTGACTGCTTTTACACCCATATAGGATATAAAAGCAATCATTTCTCTTTCTCTCGGTCTGCATTCTTGCAGCCATTGAGAACTACTGAGTGAGCTGTGATTGGTCACAGCTTGCAACATGGTACAAGGCTGTTGTGAATAGCCTTGTACCATGTGACCTCTGTGATCATTCACAGATTTCACACGTAGTAGGTTACATGATCGGGACCTCGTACAGAGGTCCCGTCTGACGATCGGTGTTTCACTGTGTCCGGAGGACACAGCGGGCACCGGATCGCGGTGCTGCGCGCTCCCGGGGAGCACGCACAAGCAGGGTGCAGGGAGGCCGTTTATATATTAACCCTCAAGGGGCGTACAATCTAAGGTCCCTAAATTAAATGCATACATAGACATACTAGGGTGAATTTAGACAGGATCCAATTCACCTACCAGCATGTCTTTGGAGTGTGAGAGGAAACCAGAGTACCTGAAGGAAACCCATGCAGGCACAGGGAGAACATGCAAATTCCAGGCAGGTGGTGCCGTGGTTGGGATTCAAACCAACGACCCTAGTACTGCCAGGCGGAAGTGCTAACCATTTAGCCACTGTGCTGCCCTACTACTTTTTAAAACGCACAAAAGTACCAAGCATTCTGGTGCAGGCAATCGCACTACATTTGCAACCTGCGTTTGAGGTGTCTCTATTTCTATTGACACCTGCTCCAGATCGCAAATGGAGTGCGCTTTGCATTCAGTCTGAATCGCACAGGAACACAATGTTCCTGTGCAATTCATGTGCGGGCATGGTGTGTGAACTGACTTTTAAAGCGGAACTTTAGCCACTCAGTCAGCATTAACCTATTTAATCCTTATGCTCCTAGCATTAGTAGTAAATTGATAGGAAGGTTGAAATATTTTCTTGTTTTCTGGTTTCTGCCCTAGACCAAAATGATGCTATACATCCCAGGGGGTCTTCATTGCATTTTTTTACTTTCACCTGGAGAAGGAATAGAGGGGCTTTCTCAGCTAAGCACACCTTCCTGCCTGCATGTCTGAGCTAAGGGCAGATGGATTTCAGGAAGTAACAACATAAAAATTAGCGCTCACTGCTGTTTTTTCCATTGGATTTCAGGAAGTAAATGCTACATGACTCATCTTCTCTTACTCAAGATGGTCATGGCTAAAAATGCTAGGGAATGTTTTCAAAGTGATATCTCAACAAAGTAAAGCATTTCGACATGGATGGGAGAGTTTGCTTTGAATATTAAAAATGTACACTTTATTTCCACTTTATGAAAAAGCTGTGTGTTCACTATGTCCTTGGAGTTCCTGAATGGGAGTGTATTAATTATAATCAGCTGATGCGCGCATATATATATATATATATATATATAATTTACCTTTTTAAGTTGTCTACAGGCTATCTGGCTGTTTTCAGCCAGATGAGAAGAGAATCTGTCTCTTTTTTGCAGCACACGACACTGCGTTTGTGGGACAAAGTAATTGGGTGTCGCACAAAAAACCTTGCCTGATTGCTAATATATGCGGGTTGTGTTTCCACCAGTCAGTCACCACTGTACTATGTTTTTTATGCGTGCTCACAGAGCATACCTAAAAGTAATTTAAAAGTATTTCTTACCCTTCTAGTTGTTTGTAGCAGAGTTAGGTCTCATGTACACTACTGCTCCTAAATGTGGTTTTAGGACCTTTTGGCGTTTTTTTTTGCCATGTACACATAGGCTTTTACCAGAGTTTAGTAGCAGCAGAGTTTAGGAGCAGTTAAACGTTCCTCTCCTGAACGCAGAAGAATCGCATTTAGGAGAGGAATGTTTTGGACAAAAAGTACTAAATGCGTCTAAATGCTAGCTGCGTTTAGCACTTGGGCATTTATTCATGTCAATGGAAAATACTCTGGGCAATCAAATGAATAAACGTCCAAGCACTAAACTCAGTTTACACACGTTTTTACCACGTTTAGCGTTTTTCTGTTGCCAGGAGAGCTTAAAGTCTAGGGGAGTTTGTGTGTACATGAGGCCTAAGTTAGATTTGAAAATAATAGACCCATTCAGACAGTGCTCACACCATAACCCTGTATGTTTTCCTTCTGTACACACCTTGCTCATTGTTTGCTGTTGCATTAAGTGTACTGAGATTTGATAGTTGTGACAAAAGTCACAGCTTGCAGGATATGTATGGAAAATTCAAGTATTTATATTCAGTGCTTTTTAGTTACTATGTTTTTATTTGTTATAACATTCACATACAATTAGTGATCATTCAGTAAAGAATGAAAAAAGAACATTTATGCACACTACAGCTCCTAAATGTGAGTTTAGGAGATTTTGGCTTTGTTTGCCAAAGCCACTGCAGTCCACTCTGAGGTTTGGGCGTTTATTCATGTCAGTGGAAAATACTCTGGACAATCAAATGAATAAATGTCCAAGCGCTAAACGAGGTATCACGTTTTTGCCTTGTTTAGTGTTCTTCTACTGCTAGGATGGCTAAATGTGTAGGGGAGTTCCTGTGTACACGAGGCCTTAAACACTATTATAACAGTAATAGTTACCTTTACTTCAATGGTTCAATGCCTGAGAGGTCCCTCACCGGGATGTCATCGCTCCTCTACATGTGCAAGAGTGTATTCATCCTGACACATAACTGAACTGTGCATGTACAGCTCAGTGCACATGTTGTAGAAGACTGTGAGCAGGCAGGGTAGGTTTATTTTATTGCAGAAGACCGTTTATATGTCTCTTCTGCAATAAAGAGCCTACCTGCTCCCAGTTTTTTCCATTTTAAACTTTACTTCCACTTTAAACTTGCTCATTACTGTACTAGGAACTACCCCAGAAACACAGAGAGAGAAACAATATGAAAGCTGGTAGAAGGGCATTATATACTTTGCTTCTAAGTGCAATATTATAAAGCCTAAGTGTAGCCGAAATGAAAAAAAAGAAAAAAAAAATCAGCAAAAAGGGACATAACTTACAGTCAGTAGGATGTGTCCCTGTACTATTAGCCACCATAATCATATCTTCTGGTGCAGCGGGGGTTAAATTAATCAAAGGGCTGTGAGAGGCCCTCTTCAAGAGAGACGACTATGCTCACCCTTTCCCCCCAGCTGTACCATTCATAGATGCCATACTACAGGACAGAGGAAGATTTTCAGTAGCAGAAGAGGAATCCGCACAAGGGACATATCCTGCTGACTGTAAGTTATGTCTCTTGTGCTGATTCTTCTGCTAGTGAAATTCTTCTACCGTCCTGTAGTAAAGCTTCTTTGAATGTTATAACTGGGTGGAGAGTAGGGTTGCTACCTCATCCCTTTAAAACGGAACACATATTAATTATACAGGTTCTGTGCCTGATTAAGGTGGAAATTAAACTCATTTAGTGCCTTATCTGCATTATATTTAATTGAAATATGTGTTTGGTTTTAAAGGGATGAGGTGGCAACCCTAGTGGAGCGGGTGGGTATAGCTCTCTTGATGGGAGCCTGTCACAGCCCTTTTGTTGAATTAACCCATGCTGCATCAGAAGATAAGAATTAACCCATGCTGCACCATAAGGCAGCCAATAGTAGGGACAAAGATTTTCCACTAACAGAACAGGAATCAGCATAAAGAACACATTCTACTGACTGTAAATTATGTCCCTCGTGCTGATTTTTCTATTTCTGATTTTAGAAGCACTTAGGCTTTAACTGTTCCATCTAACAAGCCCATTTAAACACCTGGGGTTTCAGATACATTTTCTGAAGCTGCAAATTTGCAAACGCCATCAAATGTCAGTACATGTAATGCAGTGTATGCTGTATTCAGAAGGAGGAAATACTATTGGGCTATAGTGTGAGCTCTTTCTGACATTTTGGAGGGCTACGTTGTTTCAGACTCTGTTGCTGCATTTGTTAGCATGAGCTGGTAGGTTCCCAACTTGTGATTGTAGCATTTCATTACCATATTTAGGATTTGAAAATAAAACAATACAGGAGACACTGCAGCTGTAAGCACGTAAAATATGTAAATAATCCAACCAGGTTACTTAGGCCTCGTTCATTATATGGCGCTGAGGCCTGTATACCATAAATGGGATGTATCAACAGCACTTCAGGGCCTGCGTTGTGGCC